GCATCTACGATACCAGCTTGGGATGGCTCAGCTCGGACATGGAGGCGCTACACGAGAGAGGTGGCGTGGTTCGTGCAGTCCACCGCCATCCACAAGCGACGCTATTGCGCGTCCCGTCTTCTTTCAAGGCTTTCAGGATCTGCTCGACTCCTGGCAATGAGCTGGCCTCGGACTGAGTTTGACAGTCCGAATGGATGCAAGGTTTTTCTTCAACGACTTGCTGCCAGTCCCCTAGTACGACAGAACTTGCCCAACGCAGCAGCCATATGCCAACAGTATTTTTCCTTCAAGAGACATGAACGAGAATCTATAGGAAGCTTCCTCGTCCGTGAAACCCTTGTGCACGAAGAGTTTGTGGAAGCTTTGATTCGTCTTCATGAAGATAAATTGGGTCTATCTCAAGAAGGTCGTGACTTTGGCCTCCCCACTATTCCCGATGACGAGGGCTACGAGGGTTCCTGGGGTTGGGGCTGGGGAGACACAGTTTGGGATGAACCTGAAGATCCACGAGAGGATCCCGATGCTGGCGTAGACAACCCAGAAGCCCAACCTGCAGAAGCATCTGCCGGCACTCCGGCTCCCCCAGGTGCCACTGGATCTTCCCCGAGCCATCACGCTGAGGTGACGTCGCAAGCTGGCTCGGTGAAGCCCAGCAAAACGACTGAGGTTCCCAAGGCAGTGGACGAGCTCTCCATGGCGGACTCCTTCATCCTTGAGGTTCTACGAGGCTGGCGGTTGATGCAAGCTTCGGGGTTGAATGCCGAAGAACGTCGAGATATCCTCGCTACCACCAAGAACAGCATGGAGTACAGTGTCATTGCTGCAGCTCTTCAGAATCTGTGGGATGATCAGCTGTTTGGACGTGGCTATCATTCACATGTTCCTCACCACCAGGCCTACTACGCGGATGCCATGGACAACAACGAGGCCGACTACGCGTTCTATCAAGAGGGCGAGGACTCTTGGTGGAGTGATCCAGATGGTTGGTGGTACGAGGGCAACTACATGGATGACTCCGGCCACTACGGCGAGGATGATTGGTGGAACAGCGAGTGGCCTCCGTATGAAGCCCAGGCTCTACCCGAAGCTGAAGATCCTGCCATCCAGGAGAAGCTGCAAGAAGCTCAACAAGCTGAGAGGGTCGCTGAGGGCCTCGCGGCCGAAGCCACCCGAACTTGGGCAGAAGCTCAGAGAGCTACGCAAGCTCTCCGTCGCGACAGGGGCTTTGGAGCCGTGATGCACAAGGGCAAGGGCTCGGGCAAATGCTTCAACTGCGGAGGCAACCACTTTGCAAGAGATTGCCCCCAACCTCGTTCCTCGGGTTTTGGCCAGGCAAGAACCGGGCTTTTGTGGCTGAGACTGAGGACTATTGGGCCTACTTCAGCAACAAGGGCAAGGGCAAGTTTCGTCCGAAGGGCAAGAAGGGACCATGGATGCAAGCACATGCCATTTGGAACAAGGGCAAATCCAAGGGCAAGCCAAAGGGAAAAGACAGTGGACGGTCCGTGAATGCCTACTCCTCCGAGATGTTCTTGGGTGGTTTGGAGTTCAGTGGGCTTGAGATGGCAGCTACCCAGGCGGCAACTACTACGGCATCCTCGAGCGACCACGACGCTCGCCACGGCATGATCGACTCAGGAGCAACGGCGTCAGCGGCTCCGGAAGCCGTAGTGAAGGGCTTGATTAGCTCCATTCTCACCCAGGACAAGGGAGCCAAGATCGAGTTTGACCAGTCGGCGCGGCCATACTTTCGGTTCGGGAATGGGCGATGGGGCCGGGCACTTTGTCGAGTACACTTAAGCAGTGTTGTGTCTGGTCAGTTGCGAAGCTTCTCTCTTTATGTTCTTCCCAATCCCGATGAGTACTTCAAGAGTGGCCTTGACAAGTCGTCGTTGGTACCTGTTTTGGTTGGTATGGATTGTCTTGGCAAGAACGGTATCGGGATCTTGGTAGACGTTGCCTCTGGTCTTGCCATGAATACGTATGAAGATAATCCCGAGATCTACAAGTTACATGTCAACAAGAAGGGCCACTTCACCTTTGACATTGTGCATC